TTTTTTTTTTTTAAACTCCCTAGGAACTTTTAGGATTTTCCCTCTTGCTATATTGAAATGTCACAATGATGTACGTAGGTGTGGTTCTGTTTTCATTGTGTTGCCCTTTTCTTTCCCTCTTCCTTTTAATCTGGAAACTTGTGTCTTTAAGCACGAGAAATGTTCTTAGGTTTCTTTTTTGATAACTGACTCTTCCTTTACTCTTTTTGAAATTTCTACTGGTTAAATAACAGACTTGCTCTCTTTGTCTTTTTGGACTATTTTCAAAGACATTTACTCAATCTATCTTCTAAATCATCCAGGAATTTTTTTTTTAATTTGTGCAAACATCTTAATTTGCAAGAACTCTTTCTTGTTCTGATTTTTTAAAATAATTATTCTGTTCTTGCTTTAATGAGGCAATACATTCTCTTTCCCGAGAACACTAAATAGACATTTTGTTTGTTTTAAGGTCTCTTCTGATCCAGAAATTATCTTCGTTTCACACAGTTACAGTTTTTCAGTTTGTTCATCTTAGGTTTTTTTATACACTGCTGATTTTGTTTCTTTGAAGATAATTTTTAGTCACCCACTGATATTTAGGAAAGAAGAAAAAGAATGAATGGAAACCATGTACATGTGAGCGGGGCCTCCTGACAGGCACACGTTGCTTTAGGAGGAACAGCAAAGAATCAGCCATTATGCTGGGGACTCCCTAAAAGTTAGCAATGAGGAGGGATTATCTCCAAACACAAATGTCCACCATGGCAACTCTACTTCTTCTTTAGTGTCATCTTTGTTTTTATTTCCAGAAGAAATTACTTCTATGTTTTTTGATGGGAAAGAGAGTGAGGGGTGAAGGGCAGAGAGTATTACACTGACGGTCGCTGTGCATGACCTTGGGTGGAAAAGGAGGCACAACTATTCCATTTATAGTTTTTTAATTATTCTTCCTCCCCATTTTCAATTTTCTTTTCTGACTTTTTAAATCCCAAGATACTCTGAGACTCTGTTGGATATATCAGAATATTTCTTTGCTGCAGTTCCCTCTTGAATATCTTGGGACATAGTTCTGTTCTACTCTATTCCACCCGTCATTTCTTTCATGTTTCAGAAATGTGTTGTAATCTCTCGTCTACTGAGAGTATTCTATCATTCTTACAATGTTATAGGTTTATTCTCTTTTTTTCTTTAATATGATTTTAATGTTGTCTCCAAGTAGAAGAGACAAATACATATGGTCAGATCTATATCTTTAACAGCAAATATAAGTCATCTTTAGGCTAATTATTTTTAACAATTATTCTCGACCTTTCAAGACAACCTGATATAGGCAATCACTTTTCCAAAGTTCATGAAACTACTATTCAATTCATACACTTATTCAGTCAACAAAAATTACTGATGATACAGACGCCATTTTAGACAATGAGGAAACTAAAATGAGCAAAAATACACTATGAGTTCTTTTAGGGCAGCATCTGGCTCTTCCATCAAAGAGAGACGATTAGAAAAAACAGTCACAATAAATTATGTATGTATCCTTTATATATTCCCTGAAAATATTACATGTTAATTACACGAGAACACTTTAAAAGTGATAAATTCAAGAACAGCCCCCAGGACATACATGTGGAGAAAACCATAATTCAAAAAGATACAGGCGCCTCAATGTTCACTGCAGCACTATTTATAACAGCCAAGACATGGAAGCAACCTAAATGTCCATCAGCAGAGGAATGGATGAAGAAGATGTGGTACATATATACAATGGAATATTACTCAGCCATAAAAAGAAGGAAATAATGCCATTTGCAGCAACATGGATGGACCTAGAGATTATCATACTAAGTGAAATAAGTCAGACAGAGAAAGACAAGTATCATACGACCTCACTTATATGTGGAATCTAAAAAAAAAATGATACAAATGAACTTATTTACAAAACAGAAACAGACTCATAGGCTTCGAAAATAGAAAATAAACTTATGGTTACCAAAGGGGAAACGTTGTGTGGGCGAGGGATAAATTAGGAGTTTGGGATTAACACATACACACTACCATATATAAAACAGATAATCCACAAGGACCTAGTATACAGCACAGGGAACTCTACTCAATATTCTGTAATAACCTATGTGGGAAAAGAACCCAAAAAAGAATGGATATATGTATGACTGAATCACTTTGCTGTACACCTGAAACTAACACTACATTGTAAATCAACTATACTCCAATATAAAATAAAAAATTAAATTTAAAAAAAAGGAGAAGAATAGTCCCAGGAATGCTAGAGAACATTTTGTTACCTTTGCCAAACTTCTGATTACTTAGGATCTATGCTGAAATAAGGTAGGTATTTCTAATCCCATATTATGTTACAAACCTTCATGACAACAAACAAGCATTCCTTAGAAAATATAGCAACCCAAAGATCTAAGCCTTCCTAGAAAATGTAAATTTAGACACTTGTGAAAATTTTCCTTTATAAAATTAGTCATTAGTCCTTCTAAGAACACTGTTGCCTGGCTGTCAGTGGCTGCCAGAAAAACTGTTCAAACAAGCAAACAGGAAAACAAAAGTTAACAAGTTAAAGAAAAAAGAAAATGCATGAAATATTAGACCAAAACATGAAAGGAAGAAATGGATAAAGATGAGGTAAGACAACTATTAGAATAATAACTAATAATGTTTTTACGAAGTACAAACAAAAACAAATGAACTACTATAGTTTAATAAGGTTACATAACAATTTAGCACTGGAAGGAACCCTGGGAAATCACTCCTTTCTTTGCATAGATTAAGGAAACTAAGACCCAGAAAAACAAAGTGACTTACCCAAGATCACAATTTATCTAAGGTCACAGACCTAAGTTAGTAAAACTGGAAATGGACTACAAGTTTTCTGACTCTTGGTTGAGGGACCTATTCAATATTTCAATACCAACCATCGATGAGAACTACCTCATCTTTAAAGCCACCTCCATGTGCATCTATTCCATAGTGTGGCGCTCCCCCTACTAAAACTGAAGGAGCATTTCTGCTCCTTTTTAGAGCTAAACTTTTCACCTGTCTTCCTTCCCACTCCTTTCCATCTCAAGGACTGTGCTCCTGCAATTCTGCCCTCTCTACAGGATCATTCCAATCAACAAAGAGGTTCTAGTAAAGCTGCTGCTTGACTCCATGGCCTATTGCATCTACAACCCAATTTCTCCGCTCCAATTTTCCAGTAAAAGTTTTCGAAGAGTAATTTATAATCTAGAATGTCATCTCTACTTCCTTTCCAACAATGTTTTTCTGAATCCACACTAGTCAGGTTTTCATCCCGACCATTCCACTGAAATAGCTTTTGTCAAAAGAGACAGTGACATTCAACCTGGTGAAATCCAAGAACCAATTTTCTGTCCTCTTCACCCCTGACCCCCCAGCAGCATTGGACGAGACTGCCCAGTCCCTCCTGCCTACAACACTCCCTTTTCTTACTTAACTTCCATAGCCACCTGCCTTCTTGGTTTTCTCATTACCTCATTGGCTGTCTCTTCCCAGTCTTCTTTGTTCAATCTGCCTCCTCTTCCTGACCTCTAAAGGTTGGAGTACACAAGGCACCACATATTTGGCTCTCTTTTCTTTTATCTACACTCTCTCCTTAGGTGATCTCACCTAGACTTCATTTACCCTGCCTTTCGGATTCATATATTCACCTTCCTATGTGACAACTCCAGCTAGGTATCTAAACATCATTTCAACCTTACATGCCAGTACAAAATCATGATCTATCCCCTTTCTACTCCTACCCACTCTTTCCTATTTTTCTGATCACATTAAATGGCATTTCCATCTACTAAATTATCCATTTCACAAATCTAAGGATCATCCCGGATTCCTTCTTACTCTCACATCCCACAACCAAACCATCTGTAAAACCAGGCTGTTTTATCTCCAAAATATACTCCACATTTGATGATTTCTTACCATCCCCACTGCAACTGCCCTGGTCCAAGCCACCATCTTTTCTCACTTGAACTTCTACAACAGCCTCCTAACTGATATCCTGCTTTCATTTTTGTTGCCCCCGTTAGAGAAACCTATTGAAACTTGACACAGAGATCAGACAGCATGACTCTCCTGCTTAATACCCAATTTGTTACTAATTGATAGTTGTGGTTTGTCTGAGGCCACAAAGTGAATGAGAGGTTTAAACTCAGGTGAAAATCAATGAGAGGGGTTTAAGCTCAGGTGGAAGTCAGTGAGAGGGGGTTAAGCTCAGGTGGAAGTCAGTGAGAGGGGATTAAGCTCAGGTGAACTGGACCCGTGCTCTTCACTACTGTTAAACACTACCCCGTGGTCCTGCCGACTTAAAACGCCAAGTATCTGAGCACCCACTCCGATTCACCGATGCCAAGAAGGCACTTCTTTTTTTTTTTGCCAACTCTCCCCTCCTCTCATCCCATCTCTGAAGGATGTGTAAAAATTTCACAGCCTGCACCAAAGAGCCGTTCCACTCTAATCAGTCTTAACTTCCTATCATTTATTAATTCCAGGGCTACAAAGAGCCTCACAGCCTCCTTCCCCTTCTTGCCCCGTCCCTCCTTTCCCATCTTCAGTGTCTGCAGGCCCCTAGAGCTTTCTAATAACTCCGAACCCCTTCTCTAGATCCTCCTGCAAGGCGCTCCCATCCTTCTTTCCCTGATCTCCCAAAGCAACCCCTCCCGAACTCGTTCTCATCCTAACTTCCCAATCCCCCACCTTTCGGCCAACCTCCCCTCCGCCCAACCCCCTCCCAGCCGCCGGGCTCCAGATTTGTTTTCCGAGGACTTTCCTTCTCCCCGCGTCCCCCAGTCCTCCTCCATCCCTAATCCTTTAACAACTCCACTCGCACGCCCCCACCTGCTTGGCGGGTCCCGCACAGCCCGGCCTCACCTCGCACCCTCAAGTCCCCCCTATCCCCACGCCCACCTCAAAGCCCACCTCCAAACCTCTCCCGCCCCTCCTCAACGCGGACGCGGCGCCCGCCTCCTTACCTTCTGTCCGCGGGGCCTCGGCGTCTGGCCGCCAAAGAGGGGATGCCAGACTCGGCTGCGGGGCGGGCGCTCAGGGTGCTGGGGTGCGGGAAGTTTGAACACGGGGCTAAGGTAGGGGCGGGGACGTCAGCTCCTGGGTTGCAACGGCGCGGCGACCTCGGCTCCAGGGTAACGGAGGGGGGGGGGCCCAGACTGCACTGCGGGACGCCCGCAGCCAATGATAAGCCCGCCCCCGGCCTCCCATTGGCTTCTGTTGTTAGAGGGCTCTTTCTATTGGCTTCAGTGGAACCGGAAGGCGGGACGATGAGTACGAGACTAGGCGGCCATTGGTTGACCGCTCTGGCTGTAGAGGCTACGGAGAGCGGCGAAGTCGTGCGCACTGAAGCTCGTAGAAGCGCGCCCGGCCCTTTAAGCTGAGCGAAGCCAGGGGCGGCCGCAGAGAGTCTAGGTCCCTGGGTGGTGGGAGGTGAATGGCGCGGGCGGAGAGGAGAGGGGTTACTTGACGTGAATTGTAGAAATAAGCCACTGCGTAGTTGAAAACATTGAAAATTGTCTCGAATCGTTTTTGGAAATCGCTTGGTTTTAAATTAGAAACAAAAAGCTAGTCGCTTCTCTGTCTTAGCACTGAAATTGCTGATTTTCAGGAGGATGTGGAATAAGTGTACTGATGCGCCTGCCTCGAAGACCTGGCTTTAGTGAAGCACGAAAGTGCCCCGAACTAGGCTTAAAAGTGATTGTTAGGTTTTGGAAGGGGTTTGAGGTGGAATGACATTTGTGGCGCATGTCAGTAACCTATTGAGAGCTGCTTTAAGGCATATTTTCCCTTCAAAAATAATTGACAGTATATATTAAATGGCATTAATTGCGGGAGGCAGGGAAGGTAAAAAGAAAATCCTCTCTGCGATGAAGTTTCAAGCCTTTCTGAGCCTTCTGATTATCAAGATGGTTTAACACCATACTCCGGTGTTCTCGCCTTTGTTAATTTCTCTAGCACTTTCATTCTGCAGAGAATCTAATTCTTGAAGGCAAAGGCGTTCTAATCAATCTTCTGACCATGAATTACGGTAATTCCGTTTCTTGCTTGACCATGTTTTCGACTTGCACTGTTTCAAACCTTTCATTTTACCCTGTCAATATATTTTACTTCAAGTTAAAGATTAACCCACCTAAACAATACCATAATTAAATACAATCGTCTCTATGCGCAATAATCGGGAGAAGATAGTAATCATCTGTTAGTTAAAAAATTAAGATGAGTAATACCAGAAACTGCACGGAAATAGCTTTTCATTAATTTGTTTAAATCTGCTAATACTCTTCATTAAACTAGTTCACTGGTTATTACTCCGTTAAAGTTAATACTATGTAGCTCAGTAAACGCATTGATGGATTACTTTTAAAGGAACTTGCTATAGAGAGTCAAAAAACATCCTGTAACTAGATTAAAAAACAAAACCAAAAAGAGTCTCTCCCCAAATAGTCAAACTGGGGTTTGCTAGCACTCAAGGAGAGCTGAGAATGAAACAGTATTTATTTAGCACTAACAGTGTGCTAGTCAGTGTAATATTCTGGCTTCATTCAGGTTCTAGACTGGTATTGTTATTCATCGTTCTACCTGAGGAAACAGATTCTGAAAGGTTAAAGGATCTACCACTAGATACTAAAGTAGTAAGTGGTGGGGTCAGGATCCAAGCCAAGGTCAGCTAAGTTCCAGGTTTCAAATTTAAGGCCTTTAATGTGTTTCACCTACAGGTTAATAGAGTTGCTGGCAAGCAAGAAAGAATTTAAAAGTTCAGGAGTCTCCACAAAATTGTCTAATTGTATGTAACACATTTTCAAGATCTTTACAATGTACAGTTTTATTCACTCTATTGTACTTGGAATAACAGTGACTATCAATTTGTTGGACCTAGGAAAAAGACCAAAAGAATTTATAAACCTACATAAGTTAAGAATCAGTTTATTGAACTAATTTTTTAAAAGGTTATCCCAAAATAGGAGATAATTTCAAATGTTTTTATGTGATTTTACATGGTTTTGATATGATTTTGATAGGGCTGGAATTTCCTAAGATTATACCATTTGCCATTTCATTTCACTATATACTACATAGAATTCTGCTTTTCAAAAAAAAAAAAAGGGAAACAAAGCCAACAAAATTACATCTTTACATTTCTGCCACTTGAAATTATAAGCAACAGGAAACAGACTTATTATTTTTAAAGATTATGTTTATGAAAAAATTTATGTTAATAATTATTAAGCACTTTGGAGTTTTATTTTTATTATTTTGGGGCTTATATTGTTATTGCAATATCTCCAGATTTAACTGAATGTTAACTTTTTGCAGGACTCTGATTGCCTTGTTTAATACTATGTGGCAACAGTGATACAGATGATGTCAATTAAAATCTTCCTAGAAATGCTTACCAGTAGACTTATTCCCATTTTGCATATGCGGAAACTTAAGTGTTTGAACAACTTGTTAGAAGCTTCATAAAATTAATAGACTAGTAAGTAGACTTTCCAACTGTAGGCAATCCAGAAATTACAATGACTATAATTTAAAATGGGCATACTAGAAATAATCACAACTTAGAAAGTACACCAGCATATAATTATTCTTAGCTAAAGTTCAGTTGTCCATTTAATACAATTCTTAAAAAAAAAGAATATATATATATATATTCTTATATATTTTACCTTTTGTGATAAGTAATACAAAATTCGAAAATTCTAAATCTAACTGTTTGGTGTCCATATTGCTAGAAAATTTTAAATTTATTTATAAATTCCAGGTAAATAGTGGGTTGCCAACACATAATATTAACTTTTAAACATTATCTAATACACCAGATGTTTAAAAAAATGGAATGGCTTAGGAAAACTTGAGTAGGGTATAAAGAACAGTAAAACTGGGGACACAGAAAGTAGTCTGCTCTTATAAAAACAAATTTAGTCTAATTGATTTTTGTTATTATTTGCCTTTGCAGTACAGAAAGCTGATAATCTTTGACTATTACTTTCTTTAAAGGATAAATCTTATTTGATCACTTGATGAAATTTACAAGTTAATTATTTTGTTAGTGGAGAAAGAAATAAGGCTATTGAGATGTTTACTAGTATTTTTCTTTCATAATTGGTGAGTAAATCATTAATAGTTTCTCAATTTCTTAGAGTTTATTTGAATTTGGGGGGCTTTTGTTTTGCATAGAAAGAACTAAATCAAAAGCTGGTTTAAGCTAGTTTTTAATACATGTTTTCATATTTTGTTACTCCACAATTACATCTTTAAGTAAATTGACTTACAGATCAAATGCTGTCTCCAACGCAGTAGGACTAACGTTGAAGGAAAATGTAATTCTATTTGTATTCACATTGTTAGATCTGAAAGGGAGAATGTTAGTATAGTTTTCTTAGTAGATGATTGCCTGTTCTCAACTAAAAATAATCCACAGGAGATTCTATTAAAATCAGTGACTGTCTTTTTAATTGACAATAAATATCCTAGGTAAAGAAAAAAGTGTTTTTACTACTTTGGAGTTCTAGCATAATAGGTATTTCTCCACTGAAAACAGAAAAATGGCATAGCAGAGCTGCAATGGGAAATTTCTGAGGTAGAAACCTTCGTTCATTCATTAAATACATATTGAGTACTTGGGGAACACAGAGATGAAAAATGAGGTCCTTGTCTTCCAGCTGCCTGCTGTCTAATGAACAAGGTCATCATCAGAAGATGACCTTCTGATTGCAGGTCATCTATGTAATAAGGGCAATTATAAAGATATACCTAAGGTGCTAAGGGGACTTGGAGAAGGGACTCTTAACTCAGCCTGGTGGCCCAGATATGATTCCCAGAGGAAATAACTCTTGGATTAGAGCTTATGCCACATAAAGCTAACCAGAAATGGGAAGATAAATAAGGTAGAAATAAATCAGTATATACCCAGGCAGGGCAGTATATGCCCAGAGGCAGGGCAAATCGTTTAGTAAACATCATGGGGGAGGGCATGGGGAAAGGTAGAGCATACACTGAGAGAGGGAGTAGCGCCTTCTCTCTCCAGTGTATGGTTGGGTAGGAAGCAAAGGCTAGAGATGTTTAAATGCGTTTTTAAGCTTGTATTTAATCCCAAACACCATAGGTAGTGACTGATGAATTTTTGGACTGATATGATTTGATCTGCACTTTAGAAAGATTATCCCAGCAGGGTAAGACTAGAAGCAGAAAGGTCAGGTAAGACCTTTAAAACTTCCGGAAGGGGCTGGTAACATAGGCAAGAAATGAGGAGGGCCTGAATCAACAAATATTGATCAAGGGGTCAATATTGACCCATATCAAGTGAGCATCTTCTATTCCTGGCCCTGGGCATACAGTTTTACATACTCACTTTAATCCTTGCTGCAACCCAATTTAATCCTTACTACGACTCTGATATAGTGTTATTTTTGTTATTTGTTTGTTACAAATGAAGTCTGGGGCTGAAAGAGGCTAAGTGCTTTGCCCAGGGTTACAGTTAGGAAATAGCAGAGTAGGGGTTTAAATCCCTGTCTGACTCTAGGACCCGGGCTTTCAACCACCTGTTTTTGTGGTTTATTAATGAATTATCAAATCAATTTATGGTTTGTAACCACATTTTTTAATGGATATAGAGGAGAACAGAAAATACCAGAGTATATTGTGTACAGGAAGGATAAATATCATTTTATGAAACTTCTGTTTCAGTGATTTTTATATATCTATTATGTGGTATTACTATGTCTCAAAGTAAAAAAAAAGAAAGTTTGAAAATGACTGTACTATGTTATACTGCAATTGTAGTAGGGAGAGAAAGAAAATGGGTGTGTATTACCTATGTTATAAGTTTGGGTGACTGATTGTATGTGAGAGGGTGATGGGGAAGAAGAATCCCAGGTTGACCCCAAATTCCTGGAGAAGACGCCTGGTACCCTTCACCAAAGACGGTGAGTACAGAAGGGCAAGTATGAGATAAAGGACAGTAATAAATGGTTTGGGGACCATGTTTGAGATATCTTTGGGACATCCAGGTGAAAATGCAGACAGCATTTCTTAGGAAGTTAAACATACATTTATAATATGACCCAGTAATTTCGCCAAGGTATTTACACTAGAGATATAAAAAAAAAATTCAAAAAATACTTAATCAATAGCATTTATAGCAGCGTTATTCATATTAGGCAAAACAGGAAACAACCCAAATATCCATTAACATGAGAATAATATTTTTAAATACAGTATTATCCTTACAATGTAATGCTGGTCATCAACAGAATTAACTACTGGTCAGCATGGATGAATTTCAAAGGCATAATGTTGAGCAGAAGAAGTCAGACACAAAAGCATATATTCTGTATATTTCCACTAACTATCAGTTAAAAAACAGGCGAAGTTCATCTTAACTGGTGAATATCAGAACAGTAGACTATGGGGGTGGGGTAGGGACGGACTGGAAAGGAGTGAAAGAGTGATGTGAATATACTGTATCTTGACTGAGGAGGTAGTTAAGAGTGTTTCCTTTATCAAAACTCATGAAAATTTATAATTAAGATAGGTGTTTTTCACTGTATGTGAACTTTACCTCAATTTTTAAAAATGGCTTAGTAAAAAACAAAGAAGAATAGATTCTTTTATATGATAGAAAAATCTAGAAGTAAACCCAGCTCCAAATATGGTTGGATCCAAGTGCTCAATGTTATTGATATTAAATTTTTGTTTTCTCTTTGTCTCTTGCATGTACTTTTTTATGTCAGGCAGGCTTTCCCTGCCAAGTTTGACCACCAAAGTGCCAAACTTACATTCTATTCATCTAGCAACCCCGTAGGAAAAAGAACACCTCTTTTCTGATTGGTCCAGCAGAAATCCTGGTATTAACTCTGCTCGTACCTGAACATGAACTAATTACTGTGGCCAAGTGGCTCCTTGGGGTGGGGAGGTGGAAAGGGTATGATCAAGTCACCTGTATTTTTATGTTCACCCAGAAGAGCTGAGAGAGGTGCTTCTCCAAAGG